CTAGCTTCAGTGGGCCAGGAGCTGGAGGCAGAGCTGAAGACCAAGGCTCAGGGGCTTTCACCCAGCCCCTAGAGCCTGGCACTTTGAACATGGTCTTAAAGCCTCCAAATTGCAAGAATCGACTCCTGTTTGTGAAGGCCATCCCATTTGTGGTATATTCTTGTCAGAGCGGCACTAGGTAACTAGAACAAACTCCAACAAAGAACAATAAATAAATCTGTGATCACATATGGATGTTTACAGGCATATAAATGTATGGGTAGGTACAGGTGTATTCATACGTGAGGAAAGACAGAAGTATCTCTATACATGTGTAAATACAGGTATGTGTGGGTAGGCAAATATATATTAATTGAAGAAACAACTACAGATACTCCTTAGACATAACCAAACACCTTCCAAGATTGGTTTTTGTAGGTCTGAAAGCTTAGGACCATGGTTTCATGGAACAACTCAATCCACTGTTAAAGTATAGCTCACAAAGTGTATGTTCTAAATCCTAGTGGAGTGAACAGTGTTTGGGCTCTTAAAAGCTTGTGAGCAGCTATCTAAGATATAACAATTTATCATGAGCAAAAGAGTAAGAAGGTAACAAAAATCACAGAGAGGACAAGCATACAAGGCTAATAGCCTATAGGAGCCACAACCTCAAGTACCCTGAGACCAGAAGAACTAGATGGTACCCTACTACTACCTCTTACTGATGTGGCTAGGAACACAACAGATGATCCCAGTTAGAATGTGAAAAATACATAGAACAAAAGTCAGATTCTTAAAAGAAAAGGCCAAACTAACTGGACCACCTGAGACCAGAGGAGTCCCTGAAACTATCACACTGATACACTCTTTTAAACCTTGGATGAAAACTATACTCTGAGATCACCTTTTAGCAGAACAGTAGAGTGACATACAAAATAAAGAATATTACACATTAGTGTTCTTCTAAAAGCAACAAATCTGTATGAGTCCAAAAGGACAATTATTTAATCCAAAGCAAAGATGAGAAGCTAAGGGACTAGGAAAACAAGAGTACTGGAAACGGAAGAACCAGAACACAATTAAAGAGAATCTTGCCACAATAGGAAAAAGGTAACTAATGTTCAATGATCAATTTGTATGGAAATTGTCAAACAGGAACCTAACTTGCTGTATAAACTTCTATGAAAAACACAATAAAATATTTTTTTAAAAAAGAGATTGATAGTATTGGTGCATATGAAATAAAGTGAGTGGATGTTCCCCCTTAATTGTTAAGCCAAATTGTAATAATTAATTTAACTGTTATCAAGCAAGAATTCTTTGTGCAATGTGATGAAATAATGAATGTATACCCTCATAAAAAGAAGCTCTGATGGTGCAGTGTTTAAGGTACTTGACTGCTAACCAGAAGGCTGGCAGTTCAAATCCACCAATGACTCCATGGAAGGAAGACAAGGCAATCTACTTCTGTAAAATTTACAGTCTCAGAAACCCAATGGGGGTCAATGAGTCAGAATCAGTGGGTTTGGTTTTGGTTTAACTCTCGTAGATGTTATATTATTTCTTGAAACATTTGCATGGATGCTTGAATCTTTCTGATTCTAGCTTAAAAAAGAATGCATTTTAAACACTTTATTAATTTTTTTAAAAAAGGGACTGACATCTTAGAAAAATCATCATCACAAAAAGAAACCTCTGTATTTTATTTATAACAATTTACAAATATTCACTGATTGATAACTGGGGCTTTAGCACTGGATAATAAACATTATCAAAGCTTTTTGAAAATACAAATACTAGCCAATAGTAAGGAGATCTGGCATAGTGCCTAAGGCATCTGATTGCTAACCAGAAGGCTGGTGGTTCAAACCCACCAGCCACTCCTCAGACGGAAAACTGGGCAATCTACTTCCATAGAGATACCTCCTCAGCATTAGGTATAGAGGAATTTTCCACCCCCATCACAGTGATGTGCCTTACTACAATGGAATGCTGTTAGAATAAAAAACTATGGGCTGTATTCTACTCTGTAGATTTGCATTCATTTAAAAAACGTTCACCTAACCATTAATCTAAGCACAGGCATACTGTATATTTTTTATTTCAATGTCTGTTTTTGAGATGTTTATTTGAGACACATTCACTCCTAACCTTTTTCCAGTAAGAATTTTCCATAATACCAAGGGTTCTGGCCCACAAGCTTAATTAAATGTTCAATATGTGGCCATTAAAATGCATATTCTATTCTCCACTGTTAAGTCTACGATATAAATTGGTTAGAATATTTATGATAACCATACATCTGAGATTTAACAGAAGAGCCCTAATGTCAAATATTTTGTCCTACTATTCCTATAAAACAATTTATATGTCCTAGAAAGCTTAACATTTGATAATAAAGTTGTACCTCTTGCACACTGGGGGTAACAGAATAAACTCCTTATTAAATTATGTGTCTTAATTGTTGTTTGGGGAAATATAGTTTCTATATGTTGTAATGTGATAGAAAGGTATTTGGTATGCTCATTATTCTAGGAATTTCATTAATATAAACCAATCAAACCAAACTCACTGCTGTCAAGTCAGATCCGACTCATAACATCACCTCCTTGGGTTTCTAAGGCAGGTATCACTATGGAAGTAGATTGCCTGATATTCCTTCAGAGG